TTGTTTGCATATTGGAATTACCTTCGTCACACTGGAAAACGCAAAGGTTTTGACCATTTATGGAATGGTTTCATTACGAGGATAACCTGTCAAACTTTAATGGTGATGTATGAATCAAGCCTAGAGATCACCTATGACCGAATCAGTGAGCGTCAAAGTAGCAAATTAGCAAGGATGACTTCTTACGTTATATTGAAAGGGTAACGTGTCTAACAAACTTGCTTGATTGATTGATACAACTTCTAACTTTATATAAAAAAAATAGATTTGATTTCATCTTGTTTACACCATTATATCCTATCCTCCGTCATTCAATTCTTCGAATGGTGGATAGTCGATTTGATGCCCAAGATCCAATTGTGTTCTATAATAATTATAAAAGAAACTTAATCGAAATGTTTTTTAAGAGGCAACGAGGCGAGCTCAGTTGGTTGTCCACGCTGATACCCACGTATGTTTGCCATTGCATATTCGAGATGGTTCAGATAAAAGCTTACCGAAGATTCTACAAATGGATGTCACCATCATCAAAATCAGAAACAAAAAAGGAAACCATGTTACACGAATTTTTTCCCGAGCTTGTCTGTGCTATTGGAAGCTACCTTGCAGCTAAGTTTGTCACATACCCATTAGAGACTGTAGTAGATAGGCTTATGGTACAAGGATACAATATGCGTGGTCTTCGATACACTCGTTATTCGGGCTTTTGGAATTGCGTTCATCGTATGATCGTTGAAGAAGGAATTGGCTCTTTTTATAATGGACTGTTTGGTGGATTTATTGGCGAATGCATGGTTGGTTTTATCTCATTGGAAATGGTATATGCAACGTACTGGGTGATCAGTCGGATTTCCGAGAAGTTTTCCAATAACCGGAAACGAAAATTTGAAAAAATCGAGTGAAACATTATTTTCGTGGATATTAAAACTGGTAATTGTTTTATTTAATATATTCATATTTTTGATGGATCCTACCTTGACGGCAATCTCTCATGGTTGTCACTACTTATATCACTACGACCACGTTACCATCTTTTTGAGTGACGTATGATGGGTGACTTAAGGTGCTTCTCAAAATGGTGTATGGAACATTTGTTTTGAATGAAAGAAACAAGAGGTTGGCTACACTTTTAGCTGGAGCAATGTTAAACAGTTGTCGAGCAGTATTAACGTGTCATGTGAATCACCTAACATAAAGCAAGAGAGTGGATCAGTCACGTCAATAGCTAATCACTACTATTTAGACGGACTATCTTTTTAAAGTCCGATCTATTTTTTCAATTGACGAGCTTATATCACAAGATGAATAATTGATACTTTAAATTTTTTAAAAAGTAAATAATTTATCAATGGAATTTAATATACAGTATGGGACAAAAAAACCGACTCTAAATATTTTTTATTAAAATTACTGTTTGCTTTGTAGAATTTGGATATAAATAAAAAAATACAATAGTAATTTTAAATTTAATTTTAAATTTTTTAAAAATTTTTGATAAAATAATATTTTATTTAATAATAGCAAAAATAAAGAGTGCCATTATTTTTGTTCTATACTATATAATAATAAATATTTTAAATATTTTTATTATTAATAATTTAAATTTTATACAATTTGAGTAATTTGATTTTATATAATTAAAATATAAAAAATAATTCTAATAAATAATTGTTTTTTAATATATTTTTTTGTTTAATTTTTGTTTATTAATATATTATGTTTTAATTTTAATATATATAATAAATTAAATAACTTTTTTTTTACTTTAATTATAAAAATAAATTTATTAAATTATATTTTTAATACTTTAAAAGAATTTATATTTTTAACTAATTGAATTAAATATTGATTTATTAAATAATTATTTAAATTATATTAAAAAATGAATTTTTAATTAATATCTTGTCTAAATAATAATATATTAGATTATATAATTTTTAAAAAATATATTGATTTATTAAATAATTATTTAAATTATATTAAAAAATGAATTTTTAATTAATATCTTGTTTAAATAATAATATATTAGATTATATAATTTTTAAAAATATATAAATAAATTCAAACATATTAATAATAATTAATTAATTAAAAAACCCCCTTTTTTTTTTTTTTTTTTTATACTTAAAATTTTTTTTAAAAAAAATTTTCAAATTGTTTATATTTTTTTTCACTTTATTTTTTTTCTATTTCTATTTTTCTTTTCTTATAATTTTTTATTTCCCTTTTATTTTCTCTATTTTTTATTTTTATTTTTATTTTTATTTTTATTTTTTTAACTAAAGTGAAACTTTACTTTAGTTTATTAATATAGATAGTTTTTTATACTTTTATTTTCTCTATTTACTTTTCTGCAAGTCTTTATTTTAAATACATTCCCTGTCAAAAGTTTCAAACCACCTTAGTGATTTACAAAAATTTTGCTTTATATAACTGTGTAACTTGTCAAAAAAAAAAAAAGACATATTTTGTATTATTAACATTAATAGTCCTATATATATATATTATTTTTGTTCAATTACTTTATCACTCTTTTTTTTAATGGTCAAAAAAAAAGAGTTGATGGATTTCGAATATAAAAAAACTATTGGTTTCTATAAGCTAATAATTTTGAAAAAATAATTTCAAAAAAACTGGATATAGTAAAATCATAATTTATAATATTATAACAAAATTTCACAAATTCAATATTATTTCTATTGCCTCAAGAAGTGAATGCCTGAAAAAATAACTTAATATAATAAATATTATTTCAAGACAATAATAATAAAAAACTGTTATGAACCTATAGAAAAAATATACAAAATTTTTTTGAAATTATTTAAAAATAAAGTAAGTCAAAGAATCATTAGATATATTTTATACAAAATAAAATATTATAATCAAATAAACCTTAAAAAGCCTTTTATTAGTAAAACTAATCAAAAAAATCAGTTAAATTGTGTATATAAAAAATGTTTTGAAAAATAGATAACTGGAAAAAAATAATGTGAAGCAATGAATTAAGATTTATATTATTTATAAATAATGAAAATTATATATAGAAGCTTCTTAAAGAAAAATATAATTCTAGTTCATTTTATTTCTATAGTAAAATATGATAGTAAAAGAATTATATTATGAAATATTTTTTTTGATTTAAGTTAGATCCTTTAATTAGAATTAATGGTTATATTAATAGTCAAAAATATATAGAAGAGATTGTTGGCTATTATCTAATACCTTTTTTAAAGAAATTTAAAGAAAGTAATGGTAAGTATTTTTTTTAGCAAGATAATACTAAAATTCATATTAGTATATAAATATAAAATTTCATAAATAAAGTAGCAATATCTTTCTTACTATAATTAAGGCAAAATCCAGACTTAAATCTTATTGAATATTTATAAAATAAGCTTAAATAATATATAAGGGCAAAAAATATTTATCCAAAAAATTTAAATGAATTGAAACTTTTTTACAAGAATATTAATTAAATTTTAAGTAATATGTTTCAAAAATTAATAATTAGTATAGAAAATTGGATAAAGGCTATAATAAAAGCCCATGGTTATCTTATTAAATATTAATAAATGTCATTAAATATTTTTTTTAAAATAAATTAAATAAATTATTGATTAATTTAATTTTTTTATTTAATTTTTTAATAATAATTTTAATAAATTTTTAATAAATTTTTTTATATAATAATATAATATATAAATTTAGATATAAATATGGTCCGGCACAAAAAAGTTGATACACCAATATGCTTATAGTAGAAATTTTTTTTTTTGAAATTCATTGACATATTTAAATAAATTGACTTATAAATTAGGTTTTAAGGAATGTATCAGTAGAAAT